GTTGCATCGGGAGGCTTGCGAAGAGTGACGTTTTTTCCTTAATGACTACCCGAATATTCCATCTTAGTATTGGTGGTAGATTTTGAGTTGGTTCGCAGTAAGGTAGGCATATCCACTTTTGTGAATTCTTCTTCGTCCTTACTGTTCTTTCGTAGTTCCCGTTATGCTATCGGGTTTTCACAGCCCGTATGTTTCTTTGTATAACTTATTTTGGGTAGCCGGTGCCGAGGAATATCCTAGTCAATTTATCTATTTCTTCATCTCAGAATTCCGCATCCATTAAGCGCAGGCTTTGGATGATCATTCTGCTCATTATTCCTATTTTTAGCCTGTAATTCTGATGGGACTGGAAATTGAGTATCATCCCTGCATAAGACTTTTTTTGCACAATTTTCTCTAGAGCGTTCCATTAGAGCAATTCCCTTCAACATCTAGGAACGGTAACCGCTCACCTTCGCCTACTTACATCGTGAATTAAATTTTTTCATCAATCTGGTTTATTAATTCATAAAATATTCCAGTTTTTATCTTCCGTGTGACCAAAGTGCGAAGTAACCATCCAGGTATCGCATGAGCACTGCTGACTGTAGCGGTGATATCTTAAAGTTTTATTATAATTTGTTAATGTTTACGTTTGGCAAGGGAGGTGAGGGCGGCGATCACATGGTAAGTCCAAATATTTGTTCATGAATAGTCCCGTCGAATGTAAAATAGGTTGACCTTATTGTCAAGTTGATTAGTCGTATTAACGACTCCTTCCTGATCCGTTGTGATTCCAGGATATCCTCCTATAGGTCCAGGATTTCCAGCAGAGCCGTTAGCGCCTTTTCATGGATTCCACATCAAAACCTACCAATAAGTCTGCTTCTTCAAGTGCAATGTTTTTGATTTTTTTTAAATAGAAAATGCATATGAATTTTTTACCGTGTTTGATAGCCTCTCATTTAATTTATTGAGTTTCAAACATTGCCAATTTGTGTGTTGCTCCATACTTTTTATTGACTATCAGCCTCAGTGGCTCGCCTTCTTAGTGTATCTTCGGTAATCCATAGGCTGTTGGTGGCTGTGCATACTTTTTATGATTGAATATTTGGCCGTGTCATTTCCCCGTACCTATGCATATCTTTCAGCACGTCACTTTAGATTCAGTTGATCTTGATAATTTGGTCATTCTTTAGTATACGATATGTAGTTCTGTCTTGAAGAATATATTTCATCCCCTTGGTAAATAGTTTTTTGTCTATTATCCCTTTCACTCCTCCTTTATCCGCATGAAGATTAATTGCTCATTCATTTCCTGGGCTTTGCGTACTCTGGCAAATCTGTTCCTGTCTGTTTGTTCTTGATGTGTCAAGATCGTTGGAATTAGTTCCATCTCCATTTCTGGTTTTGTCTCCTCATGGAACTGTTCTGAGATATTGATACCCTTCATCAGGATTTCTCCTAGAAGGCCTATGCCATTTCAAAGTTAAGGTTGAGTCCTACTTTTGGGATCGTGGCTCTTTCAGAGTTAAGATTAAATGATGATAAATTCACTACTTCCGATTGTCGTGCCGATCAGTAGCTGTTGTCACCTCGTAAACCACTTCAACTGAGCGTATTATCTTTAACCTAAGGTGTCTTATAATCCCAAACTTACGAGATTTATCATCGTATCGTTTTGTTATTAAATCCAATATTCTACCCGATTTCCTGTCGGTCCTGTTTTGGAGTCTTAGAAAGTCTTCTGGATAAAGGATCCTGGCCAGATCACACCGGAGCTTTGACTTAATATCTATAAACGTTGAAATTGACCTTTCATACGAAATAAAAGTCCCCCTAATAAGTTTAAATAAACAAGTAAGGGATTATGATAGCAAAGGGGTGATACGAGGATATGGGATAGGTGAATGCACCAGGATACACGGAAAGATACAACAATTGTTTAGCAGACAATTAATCAAAAGATTAGCTTCATTTTTCTATTTGACAACTTGTAATGTAGTGCAAAAACTGGTAAGGCTCACTGAAGATACTGACGATGCTGGCGAAGCGTTTATGAGTGTACCAAGTCGTTGTTACGACGCTGGAAAACAAGGTCAAATAATTTCTATACAGCAAAAGGATAAGCAACGACCATATAACGACCATATTAAAGGCCACACCATCTTGTTCCTCATACATCCGACCTTACACGGTTATTTGAAGCAATCTTATATAGCAACATAACAACAAGAGCCGTCGACTGCTAATAAAGGGATAGGATTAACTTGCCTTTGCAAGTAGCCATATGACTGCTGGAGGTGTGTCAGCTATGCAGGCCGTAGCCAAATGAGAGATGCCTGGACCCCCAACAGCCTCGTACTTGCTGAACTCCTTTATCTGTCCCAAAGTAGCCTTGTCTTTGCATAAGCTGGTTTTCAGGCGCTTCCATCCTGCATAATCAGGCAGCAAGAAGGAGGATAGACTACCACACTCCAGCATGTGCCGACCTAAGCCAGAGAGATCCGCTATCCTGTAGGTCGAGTTGGTGTTGGCTTGACTGTTGTCTTGGCGGCGAATGACTGGTAATGCATTCACAGTTTGTGAAGCCGAAGAGCTATTATGGTCAACAGGTTGGCATGGGTCAATGTCTCTTGGACGGTTATCAAAGCTAGTGTTGCAATCGCCCCTATCTGCATTTTGAATAACATCAATTATTGTAGTAGGTAACTCTGTTATATTAGTCGATTCGGAATTAGATGTCCCAACGTGTGGGCTCGACGACTGTAGAAGTGTGTCATTCGGAGACGTATTTACAGCCCACGCAGCTTCTTCACATTGGCTTGAACAGAAGCCTACCTAAATGTAGAGATAAATATAAGGCAAAGAGAAGTAGGTCTATGATAGTCAATAACACCTAAATGATAATCAGAGCTGTCTTATCATTATTAAATGTGGCTCGCATGCTCAAATACTTATAATGATTTGAATAAGAATGATAGCGCTTGCAGGATTTAATTTGCTAAAGATAGAATGGTCATGATGACAATCTAAAACATGACTGACCGTTAATCCAAAAAGTACCCAATTCACTGGCCTCTAAGAGTGAAAGTAAAATTAAGGAAATCACTACAATGACTTTCTCAATAAGCTATAGTGTGGGAGGGAGGGAATTTAGCTGCAAAGTAAAAGATCAATTCTTGTAAATAATTGTATACCCACGTAGTCAATGAAGAGAGTTCCATTCGAGGACTGCCAAGATGAGCCGTATTATATAATGTGTACTATATAATGAGCGATCTAGTTAAAATTAGTTCAAGGAACACGCCTGTAATAAAAGGCCAACATAGAATTAAAATCAATGTATTTGGATTTAGAAACAAGTAATTTGCGTTTAGGAATATTATATTCTCATAAAGTGCCTATTCAC